CCTACACATCTGATCTCTTCTGATCTCTCAGAACCAGGCTAGGACCTGATTCTTCTAAACTGAAGGCAAAAGATAGCAGCTCAGTAGACACAGCCACAGATGCAATCTATAAATCCAGAACAGCATATAGCGTAGCTATTTCCATCTTCAGCCTTTATCACTTCATCTTCTATTTAAAAATATACCCCCAGCATTCATCTGCATATGAGCACTGAATACTTCTGAAACCATTTACATACTAAAAATTACAGTCAGCTCTCCAGAATCAGAGGGGGAGAGTGTATTATGATACCCAGGCTAATGGAAAAAAAGTAAGGCAGAATGGGTACTGAGGAACAGAATCAGGACAGACATCACCCTATTTTTCTCAAAAGGGGCCAGCTAAGACCTGGTAGAGCACGTACCAAACAGGAGCTACAATGCCCAGGCAACCCAGTCTGATGCTTATACAGCTCCGTGGTCTCTGGGCTCAGTAGTGTAAAGGAGAGGGAGAACCAGGGATGCTCGCCCTAGATCTGCAAGCAGACAGGTCAGGTCCAGCACAATAATTACTGTACACCATGTGAAGCAAATACAGTGCTTCCCAGCCCGCTGACAAAGGAAGCAATATGGATACGCTCATGGTTCTGGGCCTGGACCTCAACTGTCCAAAGCAGAGTCATTACATATTTCTCTACGCTGGCTTTACAGTCTACCTGCAGTGCCGATAAAAGACCCATGGATACCTGAGAGCTGTTTGCATTCAGCAAAAGTTTTCCAGGAACTCCATAAGGTAGTAACTAAATGAATATCCCATCCTGGCTATTTGCATTAAAAACAAATTACTTTTAAGAATGGTCACTTTTCTGAAATTAATAGAATGTAAATTATTTCAGGACAGAAGATACAGAATATAGTGGAACACTTCTGAAAAGAAAACAACAAGCAATGTGAGATAAAGAAAAAAATCCGCTGTTAATGTCTCTTCAAATAATTACGAAAAAAATATTATGGGATACATTTCAATAGCCTAAGCAACCCAGTGCATTGAAATGTTCTATCAGTGTTGCTGGGAATTAGGTGCTGCCATAAACACCCCCATTTACAAAGAAGGAAATAGAAGCACACAAAGATTAAACACCTGATACAAAGCCATTGCAGTCACTGGAAAAGAATTCAGGAGGCATTGGATGAGAGCCTAGAGCCTAAGTGATTGCTCGGAGTTGTAAGGAAGTCCATGGCACAGCTTTCAGTACAGACCTTTTGTTCTCAAGCTATTGCAATATTCCCTTCTTTTCTATTCAAGTAGAATTGGCTGTGATTAACATAGGGTGTTTAATGACCCCAAGAGGCCTCTGCATCTCGTTTGACAACACTTACAGGGGCTCAGTCCTGTGAAATACAGATAACAACATTAGCCTTCAGCTTAGTGTGAGCTGCTAAAAATCTGCTGTCCCATCTTATTTTCCATGGTAGATTCCCACCAGTGTTATGTTTAATGTAGGGAATTTGCCACGGTCAATAGGCAACAGGGAGCATTTATTCAGGAACTGTAAGCCTTTCTCATGCTTCAGAATGCTACTTTCATTGTAGAACTTACTATAGTATTATTTGATACTGGCCAAAACCAAATACAAATAATCAAAAATCTGTACAGCAAGTCAAGACCAGGTTGCTTCTACTTAATAGGGTTTCCGGAAGACCTGCTGAAGGAAGTCCCCAGTGCTGCTACTGCCTACTGATGTTCACAGACTCCTCCTGGGGAAGCAGATCCGTAGCGCTCCCACTGATGCACCCAGCAGCTCCAGCAAGCACAAGGCTGCTGCCCACCAGCTGCGGAGGCGACGGAGTTCATCTGGCTCCCAGGACCATTAGGAAATGTCCAACATTGGTTTCTGGTGCACAAGCAGACAGTCACTTCCGATTTCATCAAAAGCAGGGAATCTAATTAATAAAGTAAGGATTTCTCTATCCCTACATACATACAGGATATTAATGCCATCAATACAGACTATGAGAAAAACTAAGACAGAAAAATGAAGACAAAAATATTAAATTACAAGAAAGACTGTGCTTCTAATGATATGCAAAACAGCTTATGTATTTCAGACAAACACTCACCGAAAGGAAGAGTTTTTAGAATTACCCTCTATATGTGTTTATTTAACCTGGTCAGATAACTTTAACAAAACCCTCATTACATCTATTCCCTTACAGATTGTGTTTTAGCACTGTATTATTTGCATCAATCATGAAGAATTTTGTGCTTGGAAAAGCCTCCTTTCCCTTTAATACCACACTCCCTCGAGAGTATACCATTATTTAAAATTCAATTCCTTCAATATGTATTTTTTTTAAAAAGCACCCTCAAAATCTGACAGGTAAAACCTCCAGAAAATAATTCTTCAGTGACAATGTTCCCAAAAGGAATCCAACTTCAAC